TCCCCAACGTGACGTCATCATGTTGGGGATGCCCCACCCCTTCCAGGAACACCCCCAAAGTCCCCCAGTGGGGGTGGAAGATGGACTTGGCAACCCTAATGACAGAACCAGGGGGCAGGGCTGCCTTTATTCAGGTGCGGCCTGCAGTTCTCCAAGCTAGAGAGAGCAGTTCCACGGGAAGAAATGGCAGCTTCCAAGGGTAGGCTCTATGGAATCATACCTCTGCTGAACTCCCTCTCCTCCCCAAACTCCTCCCCAGACTCTGTCCCCAAATTCCAGGAATTTCCCAACTTGGAGATGGGTAATCCGATCTCTGGGTTCTCCACAGAGCAACACCCCAAGGTGTTTCTTGAGCCACCTGCCCGAAGAACTTGCCCCATATCCCACTGGCAGTTGTATCTTTCAAAGTTTAATTCTTTACAACCTGAAGTTTGGGGTTCCGATCTCAGATGGCTGCTCAGACAGGGGTTTTTGGAAGAAATTTCCACTTTGGCCTTTCTCCCCTTCCACTAACCTGCAGAAGGGCTTGCTTGGAGCCAGCAAACTCTGCATCCGAAATGAGGAATTGGCGTTGGTTCAGGCCACAGTTCACCATCAAGCTGTCTTTTGATGCTGCACAGAAGTGACCAACGATGCTCTGGAAGATGATAAGAGAAAATGACAGGTCACCTTTCCATAACCTGTTGCCTCCTGCCACAGACTGAGGATCATATGCCACGGCTCCACGGGAGAAGAGAAAAAGCCAAAATGTGGAATTAGATGTAGAACTTCAGCTTTCTTTAAAAAGATTCTATTCGAAAAAGATATGCTGGAAAATATGTAGGCTATGCCTGTTATAAGATGCTTGAGAACTGGCTGAATTAGAGGGACTTCCGGTGGGGAACGTGGCAGGCTGATGTCTCCGGTTTACTGGAGAAGCATCACAGTCAAGAACACCAGGGGGGTGCGTGTGTATGATTTCTGGCTGATGTTATCTCCCTAGATGAAACGGAAATTGTGAGATTAACCATGCATCCTTCAGATGGCAGCTCTCTGTAAGCAAGTCTGTAAAAATGAAGTCTGAGCACCAGAAGGCTTGGATATAAATCTTTGCTCTCAGCCAGTGGTGCAGCCTCTAATGGAAAATTTAAACCTTGCCTCCCTCACTTCTTAACTTCTTCAAGAAATAATTAACTGCAGAGATAAAGAGAGATTTTCTCCATGACAAAGATAAGATGACTTGTGGTGATATACCCCCCCCCCCTTTTGAGACTATAAAGATAAAAGTTTCTAAGGTTTTATGGACTTAAAAATTGCTGCAAAAAGCTTAATTAGGAAAAGTTACAAGAAAGATGTCTAAAAAAAACAGAATAAGGGATCAGTTTTATTTTTGTGATTTTTTTTACTGCTTTTGACAAAAGTGCTTTGGGGGAAAGTAGCCAGCTGCAGAACACCAGACTGGATCTGCGTGAGACCATTTTTGTTTACTGTCTAAGACTGTGCCTAATTGGTGGATCTGTTATCAACAGAAGATAAGAGAAGGATGGGAACTCGGCTGCTTTGTTGTCGTGGTGATTTGTTTACAGACTGTGGAAACTGAGTGTGCTAAAAAAACACCCTGTTTGCTTTCTATTTCCCCGCTTGTTAGAGAGACTCTGGCTTTTGGATTTTAATTTGATAACAGTGTCTACCAGAAGGAATGGCTCCACTGAACAAACCCCTAAAAAGCCAATTACACCTGAATCGCTTCAGAAATTATTTGATCAGATGAGTAATAAAACAGACAAGTATTGTAAAAACGAAAGAAGAGATTAAAGTAGAGATTAAAGAACTGGAAAGCTCTATAAAGCAAATTTCTGGAGAAGTTAAACAAATTAATGATAAAGTGGAAAAACAGAAATTACAGATAAAGAGTTAAAAACGAATTAGATAACTTGGCCCTACTGGAGTTGAGAGAGAAAGAATTCTGTTTAAGATTAAGATCTATTCCAGAGACCTCAAATGAAATTATTCAAGAAAGGATTATCAAAGCATTGGCAATTTTTTTTTTGCATTTGGAAGAAGATGATATGGACTTTGAAATTGATGAAGTGTATAGTATGAACTCTAATTTGCCAGCACAAGAAAGGTCCCAAGGGACACTTTGGTGCATTTTGTCAGGAAAACAACAAGAGAGCAGGTTTTGCAACAGCATTTTAATACAAGATTGAAGATGGACAATATTGAAATAATTATACTTAAAGAAATACCTATCATAATTTTACATAAAAGAATATATCTTCCTAACTAAAAAACTGAGACAGAAAAAGATCCCATTTCAATGGGATAAATTGGAAGGCTTGTTCCTTACTTTCAAACAGCAGAGATTCAGATTGAATTTTGTCCAAGAGGTGAGAGAATTTCTGGAAAGATTTAAAAGACTTTGAGGAGATACAAACAGAGACCCAAGAGGAGGCTACACACAAGACCTGTTACAGGTGCAACAGGAATTGGAAAAGGAGGAGGATACTGAAGTAGATGATACAAGTACTGACTTTCTAAATTTAGGGTTTAATTATGGATTATAAGTGTTTAACATGGATGGAATATAAATGGAGCAAATGTTCTCAGAAGAGGAAAAATATTTGAAAATATTAAAATAAGACATTATGTGGCTACAAAAGACTCATAGAAAAAAAGATATAAAATATTTGGTCTACAAAGCTTTGGGCAAAGCATTTATTTTAGCTGACATTAAAAAGAAAAATGGAGTTGTATTATATTTATTGTTGTTCAGTCGCACAGTCGAGTCCGACTCTTTGCGACCCCATTGACTAGATCACACCAGGCCTTCCTGTCTTCCGCCGTCCTCTGAAGTTGGCTCAATTTCATGTTTGTTGCATCTATGACACTGTCTAACCATCTCATCCCTCAAGAGCACTGCGATCGGGGAATTTCCATCGCCTTGAAGTTCCAGGCCCCCGAGTTGTGAAGTTGTCCCACACCAGAGTCAGGGTGTTTTCGGTGGCGGCTCCTACCTGGTGGAATGAGCTCCCGGAGGAGATCCGGGCCCTGCGGGACCTCGTACAGTTCCGCAGGGCCTGCAAGACGGAGCTCTTCCGCCAGGCTTTTGAGTAGGAGATTTCATCTTTCACCAAGATTTCATCTTTCATCTGCTGCACTGTGGGGGCGGGGCGGTGGATGTCGCCCGATTGAGCTGGGAAACAGTACTCCTGGCGCTCATGCTTTTAAGAAAACCTGCCGCCAATGTGATTTGTTGCGCATCTTGGTTCTTTTATGTAATTTATTGTAGCACCATTTTAGTATGTATGTAACATTGTTTTACTGTTTTAAATTTTTAAACCTTATTTGTTAGCCGCCCTGAGACACTATGTGTAGGGCAGGATACAAGTCTCAAAATAAATAAATAAAATCCTTTGCTGTCCCCGTCTTCTTTGACCTTCAATCTTTCCCAGCATCAGGGTCTTCTCCAGTGAGTGCTCCCTTCTCATTTGGTGGCCATTATTATATTAATATTATATATTATTATATTATTATATACAGTATTATATATTAACCCCCAATTAAAACCATTTGTGTTTTGGCAGATTTGTGAAAGTAGAAATTAATATACTTGGGACTGTATGCACCAAATGAAGATAAAGGGACTTTGTACAAACAACTTATGGATAAGTTAATAAATCTCCCCTATGAAAGTTGGCACTTAATGGGAGACTGGAATGGAGTGATCTTGCCACAAATGGATAGATTCTTGGGGGGGGGGATTTCACACAGTAAAATCCAGTTGGTAAGTGCACGGAAAGTGGATTGAAAGTGGATTATTTAGTGTGTGTGACCACAGCCATAGATCTTTTTCTAGAATAGCTATGATTTAAGTACTAAGGTTGTTAAAGTAGAGATTTTACCAAAGATGTTTTCAGATCACAATCCTGTGAACCTGGTTGTTCAAAGAAAAACCAATATGGAGATTAAATGAAGCACAATTACAAAAAAAAGAAGAAATTGTTGAGGACTGTAAGAAAAGGCTAATTTTTTAAAATTAATTTGAACAAAGGCACTGATTTGAGAATGGTTTGGGATGCAAGTAAAGCTTTTATTACATGTCACCCGATACAACATAATTCTGAACAAGAAAAATTACAAAATATTTTGGTTGAGATAAAAAGAAAAGAAGATGAATTTTAAAAAACTCCACCAGGAATATAGCCAGGAGCAATGTAGGGAGGGGGACGCAGGGCCCAGCAGCTGGAGCTACACTGAGCTTTCCCAGGGCGAGGCTGCCAGGGAGAGGGAGAGAGGGAAAGCTGAAAGCAGGGGAGCAGATAAAAGGTAGGATAGATGGTGAGTGTGAAGGAAAGAAAGAAGCAGGGAAGGATATGGGGGTTTCCAGAAAGAGCGAAAGAGGATGCAGTGTGGGGAAGGGGAATACAGGGGAAAGTATGGTTCCCCCTGCAAGTCCTTGTGGATTCCCAGTTTGAAGTTATATATTATTGTTACATGCTTGGGGTGATGCATGGGGCAGAAAGAAAAGAAAGGGAACCAAACCCAAACTGAACAAGTTAGGTACTCAAAAGGTTGAGTGTAACAAGCATGAAAATTAACAAAATATTTATTACCCAGTGTAACAATTAGCTTCACTTTTGCATGCACTGAGATGACAGAAACAGTGGTCAGAGACAGATTAATTCATGAGAGACACCATCTTTTTTGTGGACTGGCTCACAATTATACACAGGCCTGTTTTTTATTCAGAGGGAAGGCAGTGATCATTTCAAACCTACCTGGCCCTTAAATGAAATTTCATGTTTTATGTGTGTACAATACAGTTTTAGGTCACCGAAGAAGGTGCTCAGGGCCGAAACACATCTGGTCTAGTGGCTTTTGATGAAATATTCACTTGTGCAATTTTATGATTATTAGACATGCAAGTCCAATAGCCACTGTATATGATAGTTTAATTTTATATGAATATAATGTTTGTAATTGCTAATTGTTACACTGTGTAAATGTTCCCTTTTTAAATGCTTGTTACACTGAACCTTTTGAGTACCTAATGTGATGCGTAGGGCATACGGTAATCATGAGGCTCTTTCAGCTGATGGGGATTGTGAATGTGGCTCTCCACCGTTCGCATATCAGCAGATCTAGGCAAACCTGTCATCAGCAAAACTCAAACAGATTATGTAAAACAGAAAAAAATGTAGAATAAATTGTGCAAGTGTTCTCTACTTCATTCAGACAATCCAGTTTTCCTTGAACCCAGTTTGGCTAGTCCAGCAAATCCAGTCGGGTTTTGCTTTTTGTATTTAGAAGGTTATATACGGCCTTACCTACAATCGGTTCTCGCTTATCTGAAATGAGAGATTCTGGGGCCCAACATGCCTGGCTAAAACTAGCAACCTCAAATCTGAAATCTTAATCCCAAATCTTAATCCCAGATGTATGGCTAATTGGCACAGTGACAGTTTGGTGTGTTGCCCAGAGCCTGGGTGGCACAGAGGTTAGAGTTCTGCAGTAGGATCTGGGAGACCAAGGTTTGAATTCCCACTCGTCCATGGAAGCTTGCTGGGTGACCTTGGGTCAGTCACACACTCTCAGCCTAACCGACAGGGTTGTGAGGATAAGAACGGAGCTGCTTTGAGACCCCAGTGGGGAGGAGAAGAAGAGATTGGATTTATACCCTGCCCTTCACTACCTGAAAGAGTCTCAGAGCGGCTTACAATCTCCTTTCCCTTCCCCTCCGCACAACAGACACACTGTGAGGTAGGTGAGGCTGAGTGAGAGAACTGCACTTGAGAGAACAGCTCTGAAATAGCTGTGACTGACCCAAGGTCACACCAGCAGCTACATGTGGAGGAGTGGGAAATCAAACCCGGTTCTCCCAGATTAGAGTCCATGCTCCCAACACCTACACCAAGGATGCCAACAAAGTAAATAAAGAATAAATCGCAGTGTTGCAAAGAGACCCCAGTCCAAGCCCATTCTTCAATTCAACTGAACCCCGCTTCGTGCCCTCCCGTCCTGGAAAAAAGAACATGTAAGAGTTACGGGTGGAGTGTGGGAAGAATGGGGTTTGGTGAGGGAAGGACATTAAAAGGGTCTCATGCCAGAGTTCACCCCCCCCCCCCAGCAGCCATTGTCTCTAGGGGTACTGATCTCCGTCGTCTGGAGATCAGTCGTAATGCCAGGAGATCTCCAGGTCCCACCTGGAGGTCGGCAACCTTGCCCCATCTTTTGCTCGTACCTGCTGAAACTTGGCTCGCTGCGGCCGGTTGTTCTCTTTGGAGAGATGCACCAACACTCTCCGGACGTTCGCCATCCTCGCGGCCTTCAGCATCAGAGCGAGGTCCTTCGCAGCAGGCAAAGCATCAGCCCTGCAGGCTGGAGCTTCAGTCCGCTCTCAGAAACTCCGGGACCCTCCTGCCAGCTGAGCACACCACGCCGGGAGTCCCGTCCCGTTCACAGGGTTGTTGTTTGCAGCACCCACCGGAGTATCGCGGGAGATCCTTTGCAAAAAAAACCCCTGTAACGTTGTATCATGTGAAACACTCTCGTGGTTGTACTTTTCAGGCAAGAGAAGAGATTCCCAAAGAGAGCATGAGGAACCTTCTACAGGAAACACAACCTGTGTTCAAGCTTCTGGAGGAAGAACCACAGAGGGACAGATAGAGGTTGGGGAAAAGAAAAGAGAGCCCTCTTTTGGCGGACAAGACCTATAGCAACTGAAGAGGCCACACAAAGCCAGAGTTCGTCCAAAGCGGGCAAACGCCCTTAGAATGCATCTGAAAGCAAACAGTAAGATTTCAAGTTTCGTAGAATTTAATTCAGTCTGATAGGGGGGAGGAAGGGGGAGATTTTGAAGAGCAGATATAAGAATCTGACCAGTGGAGATTAAGCACGCGTTTTGGAGACTAAGTAAGTTCATTTTCACCTGGTGCAAACTGGATTTCAGGCTGCCCCCAAAACTACTGTGATAAAGAAGCAATAGCTGCAGTCCCTGTAAAAATATTAAAGGCACCAGTAATCCAGGACCTGCTTACAGCAGTAATTGGAGAAAAACGGCAGACGGGTTTTTGTTGTTGTTGTTGTTTTAAAGGTCGTTTTTACATTAGCAAAGCTGGAAATGAATTTTAGGTAAATACACATAGTATTTAAATCAATAACGAAACCAAGCCTTTCACCAAAAGTCCTGGTTTAAAGGTAGGATTTTGTGACCTCCACATCCTGAAATTTTCCGTTACTGACTCAAAAGCTTTCTGGGTTCCTTCTGAACTTCTCAGATGCTTTGCCTGAGACAGTGACTCCAAATTCAGGTGAAACCCTGAAACCAGCCTCAGAGAGGAATGCCAGCCTCCAGGTGGGACTTGGGGATCCCCCAGAATTACAGCTCATCCACAGACTAGAGATCAGTTCCCCTGGAGAAAATGAATGGCTTGGAGGGTGGATTCTGTGCCATTGTACCCCACTGAATCCCTTGTCCTCCACAGGTTCCATCCCCAAGTTTTCAGGAGTTTCCCAGCCTGCATCTGGCAAAGAAGAAGAAGTTTTCAGGAGTTTCCCAGCCTGCATCTGGCAAAGAAGAAGAAGAAGAAGAGATTGGATTTATACCCCGCCCTCCCCACAACAGACACCCTGTGAGGTAGGTGGGGCTGAGAGAGCTCTGACAGAAACTGCTCTTTTTCAAGGACAGCTCTTATCAGAGCTATGGCTTGCCCAAGGTCATCCAGCCAGGTGGAAGTGGAGGAGTGGGGAATCAAACCCGGTTCTCCCAGATTAGAATCCACGTTCTTAACCACTACACCAAGCTACCCTCCCCCCAAGCCCCTGCCAGTGTCCAGGGGGGACCTGGCAATCCTAGCTTCAGCCCTCCCCCCAATTTTTTTTGCCAGTATTTATTTATTTAATTCAATTTATATCCCGCCCTCTCTGCCAGGCAGGCTCAGGGCAGCTTACATTTGTTTCCAAAATGCTTCTCTCTTCCCTCAGGATTCAGTGCTACACTCAGTGGCATGTGTCTGCCCCACAGGGCATCAAATTCTCTCCTTAGGGCAGATCAGACATCGAAGCAGACATTAAGACAAGTCTCTAGGTGTTATAAAGGTTGGCTGGCTTCTCTTGAGGACCCATCTGGTGAGCAGGAAAACACACCCTTTCTTACTAACCCCATCACACCCACACAAAATCAACACAGGTCAGCTTTCTCAAGTTACAGAGCAGGTCATAAAATGCATCGCAACTTGTCCTTTGAAGCACAGGCCGCATAAATCATATCGATTGTTCCCCTGGGCCTGGGGCAATCTTACCAGAATGTGCACCCCCAGAAAGTCCATCTGCAAATCATGCAGTCTTCGATGCCAATCAAGTGGCTGGTTTTTGCTGGCCATAGGTCAGCTATGCAGAACAATGATAGCAGCACACTGGCTTCATCCTGTAGTATGGCAGACTGTGGTGAACAAGGAGTATGTTTCGGTTTGTGTTCTCCCTAGCTCCTCACTTTGCATCTCCTTTCTCATGCCCTTGGTAAGTCACCTTTCCAAGGCAAAAACCCTTTGGGGTGCTCCTAGGAACAATGGCAGTTTCTGTGCATCTTTTAATTTTCTGTGACAAATGGTTACTAGAGACCATTTTGGTTTCCCATCCAACATTTTCAAGGAAATAAATGCAAACACTAGAGCAGCTTTGTCGCACAGTGACTAAGCAAGCGGGTGAGCTGGCAAGACACCAGTCCAAACCTTACCAAAGCCACAAACTCATATGGTAGACATTAGGTAAACATCTCTGTTCCCGACTGATCAAATATTGTATGTTGATACTGCTGTGTGCTGTTTAAAAAGATGGTTAAGAAGTAATAAAATAGTCTTAAATTGTTTTTAGTTGCTTTGCTTTTATTACAATTTGGGTATCCACGCTGAAGGGTTATGGTTTGATCTGTAAATATGAACAGCTTTGGTGTTGACTCGTGTGTTTCCAGCCTGCTACGCTCTCCCTTGGAGGCTTACAAACTAGGGGTGCACTTAAGATTCAGCTTCCCGCATGAAAGCTCGTGCCAACTGCGGGCCAGGGTGCTTTTAATCCACTGTGGCTGGCATACCGATCAGAACCCCTCCTGGAATATATAGGATATGCCTATTATGGCTGCACCTGGGGAGCACTCGGATTAAATCACCAAAACTTGCCCTGTGTGATTATGTTAACAAGAAGTGTTTGGGAACTACAGCAGCTGCTCAGCCACTGCCCAGTACTCACTCTGCAGATTTTTTGCTAATGCTAAAAGGTCTTTGCAGGCGTCTATGCCAATCCTGCCCTGAATGGCACAGGCTAACCCGATCTCACCAGATCTTGGAAGCTAAGCAGGGTGAGCCCTGCTCAGTATTTGGATGGGAGACCACCAAGGAAGTCCAGGGTTGTGACACAGAGGCAGGCAATGGCAAACCACCTCTGAATG